TTCACAATGCTGCTGCAGATGCAATATAATAATGTAGACAACACTGAATAAATAAATTTTCGTCAGGTTAGATACTGATAATTAATCACTCAAACCCCTTTATCTAAACCTCTCTACATAACCGCCGGACTCGCGACGCCGTCCTCCATGTCTGCAGTTGTTTAACACTTTTCAGTCGTCTTTGTAGTTCTAACCGAATCCTCGTCCAACGCGCGATAGGTTGTGGGCAATATTAGCCGTTAGAGTGTGCATCGATCTGCACTTCGGATTCTGACCGGATAAAGTAGACCATCCGGGTCTCTTTGGAACACTCATTTCAACATACTACGATTTGGGATGTACTTGTCAGGATACAAGACACACAGAGATCGAGGTAAGTGAATATAACACAGCTTTATTCAATGGTGCAACAAATCATGGTGAGTATCAGGAGCGAGAAGACGTGAGGAAACACAGGATGTGGGATCCATAATAGGTGAGTTCAAACACTCCAGATAATTGAATAACAATCCGTTCTGGGATATCCCTCTTACAGGTTCTGGCGTTGGTTCAACGGGAGGCAAGCGGATTCAGTGGAACACTGGAGATCGCTGGATGTCAGGTAACAAGTGGATACTGACAAAGTTCCTACAGGTCACAGATCAAGAAGCCAGAAGTTAGTCAATCACAGGTGAGTATACTTTAACGTTCAGACGTTACAGGTATCTCAAGGAATCGGAGACAGAGGATAAGGGTCAGTTACTGTTGGAGGCTTGACAAAGAACTGGGGTATTGCATCGTGTTTTATGTGTTGGTGGAATGAGGTTGATAAATGTGAACAGGTGTGAGTAATCAGAATTCTGGGGAGAGTGATCGTTGTGTGGTGAGGGATGCTGAATCTGAATTGTTCCAGTCTGAATTGTTGACAGTACTAATTCTATTTTCGAATACTATTTAGGACGGTTAGTATGCGAATTGGGTCGCAGCAAATGCTTCCCCACCATTGACGGAAATTTCCGGCTTTCCATGTTGTCACTGTTATACTGTAGAGTACTGAATCTCCTGATCAAAAAAGTGAAGAAGAAACAGAAACAAGCGACAGCACATGTAAGCTTATGCATACGTAAAATAATGTGATCATCAACATTAAACAGCATATAAATCAAAACTGCCTAATGTTATAGAATGAAATGTCAAACCAGGACAAGCTATAGGACTGTCTAGCTTTGGGGGTATTGATGGACTCCAGATGTAGTCTTTTTTTCTCAGCTTTTTTCTTAAAATTTTGCTTTTTTTTATAAAACTTACCCACATTCAAGTGTTGATTAAAAAAAGAATGCAATAAGCTAGAATAAAAAATATATATATTTGCAGAGGCTCTCTTCTTTTTTCTATTATATTGTAATGTCCAGATATTCATACAACTAAATAGTCTGGGTGCCATGATAAATTTGTGAAAATTATCAAAAATGCTGGTGGTGGGTGGCAACTTTTTTCAAAAACGCTGGGGGGAAAAGTAAATGCAAATTTGAATAAAAGTTGTAATTTCGTTGAAAATAAATGGTACTGTAACGTAACAAGTCAAAATGAGGAGGGAAGGAGGGGGCTTTGAAAGACGATGAGGGGCTGGCCAAGGTTTGAACAGAAGAGTAGATGACGGTGGGAGAAACCAGGGTGGCGATGACAGTTGGAGGAGATGAAGGCAGGAGCCGATATGACTGAGGCCGGTCGGAAGGTGGAGCCTGATGAAGGCATAGGGGTGGAGGGACGAAGTGCAGCTGAAGGCCAGGATGTCCGTGGCACAGACAGAGTGATGACTGACCAAGGCGAAGCCGGAGTGATGAGGGAGCTCGGTGGAACAGTGAGGATGATGGCCCCAGGTGGCCCCGAGAGGAAACAGGGATCCGAGGGATCCTCGTGCCAAGCGGAGCTGGAGACTGGTATACCCGAGGCGGATCCATGTTGCTCTTTAAATCCAACAGAGGAGGAGCTGAGGGGGACTGAAGGGAGCCAACAGAGGTGTGCCAAAGGACTGACTGACTTTGTTTGAGGAGGTGGGAGAGGGTGGCTGGGTAAGATCATTGGAGACGCAGGAGACTTGGAGCTGGGCAGGACCATAGGGGACGGTAGATTACGGGGAATATCCTCTTCCAAATCCTCATAATATTTCCCAGAGGCCAGGCCAGTGCAGTGGTGGTGGGACTCCATTCCATTCCCTCATGCTCCACTAGCACACCCACTGGGATGGAAAATGTTTCCGACTCATGCACCTGGTCAGACTTTCTGTTGGGCTCGTGCTCTGGGGTGATAATAGGCTCAGCCGCTGTCTCTGGCGTTGGCATCGCTTCAGGCTCGGGCTCCGTGTTTGCAGTCAGCTCTGGCATAGGCTGGATGCAGGGTGTGGGAGGCGGCTGGCTTGTCTCTGGATTCGGAGTGGGGCTAGTGATGTCCTCCTCTGTGGGGCAGAATGGTGAACGCCAATCCATTGTTCCACAAATGTTCCACTCCACAAATGCGCAAAATTTGAGGACCATCGAGGACCCGAGGACCATCACTAGGCAGGAGTGCCTTTGATTGCTCGCTAAGGCTGGTGTAGTAAAAGACAAAAAGCGAGTGATCCGAGGCACGAGCGATCTGAGGCACGCCAGATCTAAAAATCCGCAGGAGATTCAAAGAAACACTTTATTAAAAAATCTAACTCTCAGGAGATAGAACACAACTACGAAAACACAAACGAGACTTAAATACACAAAGAGTAATCAACAGAACTAAGAACAGGTGATGAACTAATGAAAAACCATGGAAACTAATTAGCTAACAGAACTCAGGCAAATCACAACAGGGAAAAGAATGAAAACGAAGCCAAAAATGTTACACTTCTCATGTTATGATGATTATGATTCTAAAATAAAAGTAGTTACTTATCACGTAGCCCTGATAACCGTTTTATAAATGATCGGCATATTGCAGTTTTGTTGCTGCACTGCTTATTAGTTGTTGTTGAATGTGTTGAAAGACTTTTGCCTTTTTAGTAAATGATAGTGACGAAGGGACAAGATATACTGGGTGCATGAGAAAGGGGGATATGAGCTATAGCTGCATTTATTTTGTATTATTTTTATTTATTTATTTTACAGAGAGTGGTACAGAAAGAGATTCCTAAAGTTAAACAGTGTATGAAGCCCCGTCCTTTTGTTATTGTTGCATTTATACAAATGACCCATTCATTGAGCGATGAAAAAGATTTGAGAAACCTTATGTGCACATTAGTATTCAGTTTTAGAACTGGAAGTAAACATGACAAATTACATAAGCAGACACGGGATCCTCTCCAAACGCAGCATACGGTGTCATAATTAAATTAAAAGATGGTCATAATTACAACCTGTTCAAATGTGGTTTGAAAAAGTTTTTCTTTTCAGTAAGTTTTGTTTCTGATGCCTTTATCTTTTGTGAAATATAAATTCGATTTTCAATTTAAAAAGGTGTCGAAAGAGAAATCAAATTTGCTTAATCAAGTTCAAAACTTCCTACACTGAAACGAAAATAGAAAAAAACAATTCATTCTCAAATCCTTGCATTAAATCTCAAGGTCATATAATGGTCTTGAAAAATTATGATTGCATTTGGAACAATAAAAATTTAATTACATTGTAAGTGGACCACAGGAAAAACAATAAAATAATGAATAAAATGTATGATTAGACACCTTTAAGAAAATAATGAGAATATCATTAATATTAATCATTAAAAACTATGCTGTAAACAAGTATTTATGAGATACAGACCATCCATCCTAGTCATAACCTTTTTATACATAAATGATCCTTGGATTCAAGCCACTGTTGCTGTATTTTTTGCCCTTGAGCTATTTGAACCTCTTAACCTGACAGTTTTTCATTTTAATTAAAACACACCACGCTCTTTTAAAAAAAAAACACTTGAGACAAATTAAGTAGGAAAAAGGGTTATCATTCAGTGCTTTATGTGAGGAATGAAATCAATTAATCTTTTATATTTCTAAAGCTTGTACATTCAATTCCCCCACACATAAATAATGAATTACAGTGTTTAAAGTTAAATTAATTACATATTGGTGCTTTGAGAAAGATGATCATCAGGATATAAATGATGCCTTTACAGTCATCATGCTTTAGATTAACTTTTGAAAGGACTCTTGGGACCATACTTTACACTGGCAATAAAATGAAAAAAAAATCTTAGTTTGAGGAGTACATCAGATGGTTCATGAAAGCTCTTTTTTTCACTTACCTCCCTCTGCCATATGCAAATTGCGTGCATTCTGATTCGTTCTCATTTGTTGTGTAACCAGTGACATTGCATAAATGATGTCTCTTTGACGTGCCATATTTTAATGTGCAAACATCAAGCGTAGCATCAGTTCTGGCAGGTCACATTAGTCAAGCTCGCATCAGCTGATCCACGTCTACCTATAGGAAAACGACGCCTATCACTGTATGTATATATAAGCTCCTTCAATCAGTGTTATCAGCAGCTATCGCGTTTCTCAAGAGCTACACTGACTTTTTCTATGTACACAAAAGGCCTATTTCTCTCAAATACTGTTCACAAATCTGTCTAAATCTGTGTTAGTGAGCACTTCTCCTTTGCCGAGATAATCCATCCACCTCACAGGTGTGGCAAATCAAGATGCTGATTAGACAGTATGATTATTGCACAGGTGTGCCTTAGGCTGGCCACAATAAATGGAATCACACAAATGGAATGATGCTTTTTGTTTTCAGAGTTTGAAAGCCATTGGTCACCAGTCACTTTTATTGAAAAGAGCAGCAGGAACATCTCCTTTAGGCATAGGTTTTGAATATCATGAGAGTGAGTAAACTATGTTCCTTAGAACATATAGGGTTGCATCAAACTACATAAAATTGCATTATAATAAACTTTTAATGTCAGATACTGTAGCTCTCACGTTTTTGTTTAGGGAGATGGAGCAGCTTTATTTTAGAGCATCAAAAGGAGTCTCATTGTGCAGTCTCATGATGTCGGGATTGTGGGGTTGGCGTCTCCAGACTGCAGGGAGTGGGATGTCACAGACAAATGTGTGCTGTCAGTACTCCCATCTGGGGCAGGATACTGTCATTGTGTATTTTTCATTCTTGCTTTCTTTCTGCATCATTCCTTTTTGTCTGTATTTGTCTTCCCTCAGCAGCTTTAAGACTCATACCATAATAAGAAGCCATTCCCACAATCTTTCAGGGGCACATCAGTGCCAAATCCACCCTAGCAAACGTCTTAATGAAGTTCTCAAAAACTTTAGAGAATGCAGAGATGAAGTTTATCGATTATTCATTTGATCCTCTTTTTGTGGTATTAAGAAAACTATGGGCCGCAAAGGTGACTGACTGATGAAAATGGACTCGGTCAGCCAGAAAAAGGTAAAAGCCTAGAATCTTAAATATCAGAGGGCAATATCAATATGTCAGAAGCATTAGAAATTTATGTGCAGTTGGATACAATTTATTGTTTTTTTTCTGATGTGAATTCCTCTTGCGGACCAAACTCAAGTCTACGACTTGTCAATAGAGTAAATAGAAGTTCTGACTGATTGGCATCTCTGATTGTGTTTAGTTTTCTGAGCGTTTTTGTTTACCTCAGATCACAGATACCTAAGATACCTCAGACATTATATATATACACAAATGCCTGTACATTTAATGAACATCTGTGCCACACTTGTGTGTGATTATTTCAGTGCTATTTCACACAAATTGTAGTTCTGTCAGCTCTTTATTTCATGCAAATAAACAGCTCTAATATTGGGTGCAACTAACTTTTACATCTTATATGAAAAAATAAATATATTATATTGTTATATTATATTTATTGTATTATATTATATTAACAATAATATTAAATTGTGAATATGGATTTTTTTTGTAGTATATTGTTAATAACCTGTTCTCTTTCAATTTTTTTAATGTGTAAACATCTTTAAACATTTAACAAATATGAAAGCATATAAGATTAAGTATAAGAATTGATGGTGATCTGCAGAAAACAGTTTTTTGTGTCTACTGCAGAATTTTGGTGTAGTTGCACTTTTTCCCACAAAAGTAATTCATTTTGCAACACCCCAGTAAATACTTAACCTGAAAATTATCCACTCAAGGCGGCCTGCACCACATCGATGGCTGAATGCTTCATTAAGAACACATCATAGGCAGATGCATGTGACCAAGGGTAGAGAGAGAGAGAGAGAGAGAGAGAGAGAGAGAGAGAGAGAGAGAGAGAGAGAGAGAGAGAGAGAGAGAGAGAGAGAGAGAGAGAGAGAGAGAGAGAGAGAGAGAGTGTAAAGTGATCCTGCAAGGACAAATCAATAGGTTATTTCAGCCCTCGTAGAGTATTCACAGTTCTCTTAATCCATTATAAAACCCATATTTATCTGTGGGATATGGTGGTCTTGCTGAATTGAGTTCATAAATAAGTTTGCTTTGCTTTGGGACAATAGAATTTGACCTCTGTCCACAAACATAGATAATAATGTTATAAGACGACTGTTGCAAAACTCTCAAAATACTTAATAAAGTACCTGAGGCCCTTGGCGCCATAGTTATCCCATCTCATAGCAAAGAATGTGTTTACCCTTATACAAATGTATTCTATTATGGAAGCTAGAAGATATTATGCAACTGGAAATGTCCCAAAACCCTACTGTAGATCTAAGATTGTATTGATGAAACAATTGAGATTTCATCATATGAAAGCATGCTGGGAAGATTTTGAGGAAATGAGGAAATAAAAAGAATATGTAATCATTTTTGACAGCATAAAAATGGAACGGTTATGTAAAACTGTATCTATATGGTAACACTTTATTTTGATGGTCCCCCAACAGACATTCTACTGACTATAAGTAACTTTGCAACTTTTTCAGCTTATTTTACTAACCCGAACAGTCTACTAACATACTTATGGTTAGTTGAGTGTCTAAAGTGGAATATCTATCAATCTGCTGTCTGTCTGTCTGTCTGTCTGTGGGTCTATCTATCTAGTCCTTTCTGAAGCTGGGGGGGGGGGGGGTCTTTTTTGGGGTGTACTACACAGTGGGGTGTACTTTTGTGGGTCTTTTTTGGGGTGTACTATCCCTTTAAGAAACACTGTAGTTTTGCATTTGAGTTCCTGTCCCATGCCCTTGAGAGCCCTTGCATATGTTTCTTGCCAGTGTTAGTCTCTTCTGAGCATATTTTTACAATGAAAGAATAATAGAAGCATTTGTGAAGTTCACTGTATTATGGAGCACTGGATCAGACAGCACTCTCATCAGATAGAGACAGACACTTCAAAACAATTACCTGCCCCCTGTTGTTTTCTTTAGAGAGGAGAAATGTGTTCTCCTCATTCAGGATGTGATTTAGAGGGGCTAAGTCTATGTTTTGCAGGGAAATTGTAAAGAATGCTTGTCTTACAATTGTATTGTGCTGTTGTCATTTCCTCTCACTGCAGTCTGTAATTTTTGAGAGGTGGTGTTTCGTATTATTTGGAGTTACTGAAGCTGTAATTTAAAACAATGGGGGACAAGATGACTGTTTGCCTGATTTTTCTTTTGCAGTCATGTCTACGTGATCCCTGCATTTACATGGACGCTCTCATTGGGTATTATCCTGGGCCAAGTCATCATTCAGCCCATCACGTCACTGCTGACGCTCCTCAAAGGAATCCTGCTGGTTATTACCGTAAGTTCAATATTCATAAATTATTATTTTTTATCCTTTTATTTAGCTCTCTTGTGCTACACACATGAAACAACTTTTGATATAAAATATTGTTTTGTTTTTTTGTGCTCACTTTTACTGCAGTGTTATTCTTTTGTGCGATTAATGGAATCTGGAAATTGTTATTTATATACATTTTTATTAATTGGTTTATAGATTTCTCTGTTGATTCATACATTTCTTAATTGATTTCTCAATTATTGTGTGTCACGTTTGGGCCACCATAAAAATAAAGTGAAAATCACAACTTTTGTGATATGATATTCACATGCGTTTATCTAAGCTACTGTTCAACAGTTTCAAAAGTCTTTTTGAATGAAGTCCCTCATTTTCACAAAGGCTGCATTTATTTGATCAAAAATACATAACTTCAATATTGTATGCAATTTACAATATATTGTATTATATTTTAAAATTTAATTTTATTGATGTGAAGGCAAAGCTGAATTTTCAGCATCATTACTCCAGTCTTCGGTGTCACATGATGCTTCAGAAATCATTCTAATATGCTGATTTGGTGCTCAAGAAACATTTATTGTTATTATTATTATTATCAATCTTGAATTTTTGTAAAAATATTCACATATTTGACAAAATTGTTTATTTGGATTTTTCTGTGTTATTTATATTGGTAATTATGCCCACAGAATGAGTGCCTTATTAATCTGTGAAGGAGCCACAAAGGACAAAAATTAATAAACTGAAAAGTTTGAAAAGATGTGACACTTTAGACACAATGAACAATAATTATGAAATGATAATGCTTTCTGAAGAGCTGTTTCTGTGTGTATATGTGTGTGTGAGACGTTGCATGTTCTTTCACTCCAATAAGTCCAGAGGAGAGCGGCACCTTTAATAATATACTGACTCTGATCTGTGAGTGACACCTCACACTTCAAGAGGTGACATTCAAATGTAGAACTGCAATAAACAGGTGCATTGAAGTGTCTTGGAGGGCAGGAAGAGAGGGATTATTAAAACAGGAAAAATTGTGTTTATTACTATACGTATCATTTTTAATACTGAGATGGTTTTACCTTTTCAGTGCAATCTCTTGAGAGTTCTCCACCAGGGATGTGTTGTCCTTAAAGGGATAGTTCACCCAAAAATGAAAATTAGCCCATGATTTACTCACCCTGAAGCCATCCTAGGTGTATATGACATTCTTCTTTCAGACGAATACAGTCGGAGTTATATAAAAAATGTCCTGGCTCTTCCAAGCTTGATAATGAGAGTGAATGGCTGTTTGACTTTGGAAGTCCATTATAGCGCATCTATTCATGATTAAAGTGCTCGACACGGATCTGCGGGGGTTAATAAAGGTCTTCTGAAGTGAAGCGATGAGTTCGTGTAAGAAAAATGTATATTTAAAACTTTATCGATTAAAATAACTAGCTTCCGGCAGACGGCCGTATGCATCGATTTACACCAAAAGAGTAACCCTTGAACTTGACGCACAACGGAGGTGTTTACGATTCCGCTTAACAGCACTCAAAGCGTCACATTTTTTAAAATTTCAGTACCGACTTGGTACCGAAGTCAGTTCTTTTTGACAACTCTAAATCACACACATTGTACTGATGCTCATCTGATGGTATAGATGTATAATATAAGCGTGCAAAAGCATTTGTTGGATAATACTTTTTGAAAACATTATCATTTTCATGCAGCCAAACAGATTGCTACTTCTGATTTTCAGAGAACCTTTTACAGTTTTGGACTGCAATTGGTCCGTGGGCATCTCATTTGGGTCAAATTCACCTTAAACTCCTCCTTTTACTCTTTAAGCTATGCTGCTAGGCTGGCGCTACACTGCAATGCTTTGTATAATCACAGCAAGCCATTCATCAAGTGCCACGACTCCCCCCAGGCTCTGGTCAGTAAGCTAGCTGACAGTAATTCTCAACCCTGTTTCATCAGTGGTCAAATTACAGCCCATCAATCACACTTGCTGATGTATTATCCCTGTTTGAAATGTCCATGCTTATCTATAATTTGGGCGGTTATCATTTATGAGTTAGTGTTTTATGGTGCGTGGACGGCCCCTCCTGCATCACGCTGTGAATCATGCCACCAAGACGCAGCAGAAGAGCCCCTGATGAGATATCATCTGTGACTGGCTCTTACGTTTAACAGCGGGCGACATATTTTCATGACACTCCCAATGCTACAGTGATCCATGAAATGCCCTCCACCAAATCTCCAGTTAAAGTGGGTGTAATTTAACGCTTTACTATAAAGTAGCAGATAATTGCTCTCCTGCTCAAATGAGGCCAGGAACGATCACGTCTCTTATGTGGAGGGGTTGATTGTGTGCTAATTGTGGGGCGTGGCTGAATTATGCCATTGGCCAGTGATGTTTGATAGCAGAATACTGACCTACCTGTTCCAATGCTCCATAGTGTTGGAATGACAGTATTAGTTTTGGCTTCATTATGTGACCAGCTTGGGCGTACTGTTGGTAATCTTGATGGTAATTGCCTAGCTGGTGGATGTACAGTAGAGTATGTGACCTGCATGTTGCCATCTTTGATACATTGACACTCATTTTTATTTTTCCTGGATTTATTCATGTATTTAAAAATACATTTAATATGTCATTTCTGCATTCAGTGACTTCAATTTAACATTCTAGAGTTCAGTTTGAATGAAAGAATGACCACACCAGTTGACTTTCTTGTCAATATATTAGGTAACACTTTATTTTGAAGGTCTACTTTAGAAATTCTACAAATTATTAGTAACTTTGCAACTACATGTCAACTAACTCTCATTAGAGAATTAGTAGACTGTCTACTTAATATCTGCTAGAACTTTATTTTGATGGTACCCCAACAGATATTCTACTGACTATAAGTAACTTTACAACTACGTCAACTTATTACTTCCCATTCCTCATGCACCCCTGCTCTCCTCGTTTTATATGTATCTCTTATCAGTTCAGAGGTTTAATTTGACCTGTGAAGGTTTTTCGCTATATCATAAGTGAGATTTCAATCCGAAAGGAGCGTGCATGCAAGCGCACTGCTTCTGTAACTGCATAGATGCATCGATACATCACTTCACGAGAAATAAACAGTTAAAATGCGAACATTCACATTTGAATGCATGTTTTTTTTTTTTTAAAAGGTTACACCACATGACTTTTTTTTTCCTTTTCATAAAAATGGTGTTTGTTTTTCAAAACCATATGAAACCAACATGAATACATTTCTAAGAACTTGGTAGAATTTTTTAAGATTTTTCTTTTTCTTTATCATGAATACTTTTGTTTCTCATTAACCCATTTGCATCCTTGGCATTATGTCCTGGAGCCAATTATCTGAGCCGATATATAATGACAACCTCTGCCAGCAAGGGCTAACCATGGAAGTTAATCAGACGAATTTTGACCCTATGGCATTGACTATTAAGATTTCCCATGGTTCCTTTCTGTGGGGGTCAGCAGTGATGTTAAATAGTTTTAGAAAGTGTGTGCCAAGTTTCCATTGCAATATGGAATGCTTTGCAATATAAAGCAGACTGACAGTAATTAAGAACAGGTGTAGCGTGCGTGTGTTGGGATTGTGGGCAGTACGCTGGAGGATGTCAGATGCTGTTCCCTAATTGCCACTAGCTGAGGATTTATTGTTAATGTTGGACCAACCTCCTTTAACTCCTGAGAGAGAATCGTAACCTGAAATATAGATTCATTAAGGATGCATATGGCACGCCTTTCAAATGGGCCCATGAAATATTTCATCTGGAAGACAATTCCTGGCTGGCGAACGAACAATTGTTGTTAAAATGATTCATAGTGCTAGACTAGAATCAGTATTGGGAGAACATTACATATTTTAGCTGTAGAGCGCTTTTACCATCATCAGTTTGGTCTCGCTATCTCTTTGTGGAAGATCTTCATTATGTGTAGCCTATAATATGTATAAGCATCATCATCACAACAAAAAGCTGAAGAAAAGTCCACTGGTTTGTAGGCCAGGGCTCTGTGGCACTCTCGCAAATGGCATTTTGCCGGCTTGTGTTGGCTGATGGGATATAGCCATTACCTATAATCAGTTTGCCTCTGTGGTGTGGTTTCTGACACAAAGAGTGCTGGGAAGGCATGGCGGATTTTGCACAGGCTCTGCCTTTTTCAGGTCACTGATTCTTTGCGTCAACGTTCGTGTCAGGGGCATTAGGAAACAAAGCTAAAAGCATGTGGCATTGCAGGGCTGTGTGAGTCTGTCGGGCTATCACACTCCACTGGCTCACGATCCATTAATACCTTCACTCTCCCTAATGATCATTTGGGTGAGACGCCTTAAGGATTGTCACACACACTCAGACATGATACGTTTTACTACAGTAGCTCCTCCTTCCATCTCCTGCAAATGGAAACAGTATTTGCGGTTTGCTTCTGAAGGGCTGTTGAATATTGACCTTGTCTAGTTTGTTGTGGCACAGCTGAGTAGTTAAAAATAATTAGGAGATGAGTTTTGAACATTTATATGACATATAATTTATAACAACAAAATCAGAAAATCCATATATATATATATATCACAAACTTCCATATTAACAACCAATCAGTAATTTTATTAATTTAAGTTTCGCTAATCTTACAGATTTGCATATTTAACCGTAGCTGTGTTAACTTGGACTCTAATAATCCGTTTGTAATCGGACTATAGTAGCCCAGTCCGAATAAAAAAAGTCACATGTAACCATGTCAATTGGAATGAATAAGCCAAATCCAATTTAAATTCCATTCGGTTTGTTTCCATTTTCAGGGGTGGTTTGAAGATTTTCCAATCTGTTCAATAGCACATGTAAACACTTGATCAGATTGAAAACTGAATCTGCACATGTGCAGTGACATAGAAATGGCATAATGATGTATGACACACAGAATGAGCTGTTGTTGATGATGAAGGAAAGATTCTCCTTCCACACATCACCTGTTAAGTGGTGCAGGACAGAGC